TTCAATAGATGTAAATCAAACTCACATACACATTTCAGAATGTACAAAGTTCAACAGCTTTTAATCAGAAAATAACATATAACTTGACACTGAATGTCCAATGAGGACAGCAAAGTTTTACACTTCTACAAAAAAGTAGAACATTTCATCACTTCAAGCTTCAAAGTTTGAAAAATAACAATGATTGCAACGTTATGTTCTGTAACAAGGACATATTTTGATTTACACTACGAAGAAAGTAAATCAAAATGCCATACTTATAAGTATTCATAGAGTTAAATATCACAATGCAAACCTGAGGCATGAACATTGGTATTTACTTATGTTTTCAACTATCTGTTATATTTATTAGTATATCATCTACACCAAAAGGGTCTCATGATGCAATAGGCAAGTTGACATGATGAAATACACATTTTAATTGCTGAATATAAGTAATCACAACAATATACAAAAATGATTTCAAGAGTATTTACAAATATATTACATATTTACATGTTGCACATTGTATACACAATACATATGTCTTCTTTAACTCTCTGGTATAATGTGCAATGTCTCAAATTACAAGAAAATGCACTCCAGGCCACTCCAATTGATTTTCTGGAAAGTACCAGTGAAAAGGAAGCAATAGGCCCGGGCAGCTGGGTGACAAACTGGAATATATTGCCTCCCTAAAATGTGTCTGCTATTAGCCGTCAACTTGGCTCTCAATCCGTTTTAGGTTAAAGAAAGCACTGTTTTGTATTCCGGAAAATTATTGATGTGGCCTCACATAGAAATGAACGTACAATGTTGTAAAACTGACTGCTACAGAAATAGCGCCATTCCTCATGTGACAAGGTTAATAAACAATTGAATCTTAATGCCCCTAATAAGAGTCCCTTCTATTTACGGTTACATTGTTGAATATTGCATTCCATGATAGGACAATTCAAACTTGTAACATACGTAATCAAGAAGAAGAGGAACATTAGCAGATATCGATTCTGTAAATTTTGACCAAATTTGCATGATTAATGAGAAATTCTATGATTCCGTAATGGTAAATGGTGGAAATTTCATAATTTTATTTGGAAGTTAAGTGAATGTGGACCCAGTCTGCACACAGTCTACATAAAGCTAATAACTGAAGTATCTATCTCTGGGGCAAACAAACATAACCTCTCTATTTTGAACTTGGCCAAAAGCTTTTACAAACTTAGACTTTATCCTCTGAATAGGTATAAAACTTGCAGGACCTTCCGCATCGAATACTGTAGGATGCCATGCCTCTACAGGCTTTCCACAATGTGTTCGCATAGAGTCAGGTAGCCTGGAGTACCATTGAACCTTTGCAATAAGGTGACTTTGAGACTCTCCGTGTTCTAGTATGATGATATGTTTCAGAAAATATGAAATCCTTCCAGGCCTTGGGATACGATCCATGTCATTGTAGTTTTGAATGTGACCATCAGTCCCAGCCCAGTGGGCTAGTATTTCTGAGGATCTGCATGATCGTGAAGAGTAAGAACCGATGATTGAACCAGTCACTTTTACAGTTTTAATCTTTAAGTATGACTGACATATGGCTGTCTCTGTATGAAGGGCAGGGTAGATGGATTTATACATGCTTACAATATTATCAAAGTCATCATTTCCAAGTACTGCAGGAACACCTTTTTCAAGCTGAATTTCACGCTGAACGTCAATTGACCAAGTTTGATTCTCAACTGGAGTTTTAAATGATGACAATTTGCCCCCAAATCCAAACCCCACATCATTGTTTGTTCCTCTAGTATCTTCCTCAAAAACATTTGCCATGGCAGAAGTTAGAGGAGAAAAGGCCTCACGGAAATATGTTGGTTCAGCTATATCAAGAAGATGGCGTTCTTTATCAAATTTCCTCATGATCTGCAACTCAACTTCACGATTATTACTAGGTTGGTCACCTAATATACCATTAAGTCTTTCAAAACTGAATAGCCAAAACGAGTACACGGGACCGAAATCTTCCATGCAACCTTTAAGGTGTGCATGCAAATGCATATTTGGTGTAACACGATCCATACCATACAGGCTTTCAAATTTCTTACAGAATTCAACTAACAATGAATGGGCTAACTCTATACTTGGTTTTGTGATGACACGAGAGGTAATGAGCCTACATGCAAGGACAAACTTTCGCCAGCACTCCAGATCCTGACCAGAAATAACATCTTTAAGTGCAAAGATGGAGTATATTACTGTCCAGTTCTTAAACTTGTCCGCTGTAAAGCCACCAAAACATGATGCTATTTTTTTTGGAAGTTTACCAATGTCGCTTGGCGCCTCCACATTATCCACTTTTTCCTGAATTGTTTCAAGGTCCTTATCAGTCAATACACCTGTGTTCTTCCAAACTTCTATCATTCTCTTAGCCGTGCCAAGAAACAGATTATGCATGGGGTCAATCGTGCTCATGCGAATAATATCAATGTAAGGGAGATTTATCAAAGGAGAAAATCTTGCACCTGTCAATCTTTCAAGTTGTTCCTGCTCAGTTTGTGTTTTACATTTCAGAACATGATTCACAGAGGCCAGATGGTCCTCGTGTGTTCTTGGGTCCCAGTTTTCTACGTCAAAACCACCAAAACATTTTTCTCCAATAGTACCTGGGAAAGATTTCTTACATTTGGAACATCCCTGAGTAGCAGTGTGCCCCATAAATCCACACAACTTCCTTGTTGCAGGAATGTCACATCCAACACACAGCAAAGCAAGTCTAAAAGTCTTTTCAACTGTACCTGAGAGAAAGCTTCTGACTTTAAAACCCTCATTCCAAGCTACCTGTAATTCTTCAACAAGTGGCTGAATAAAAGTGCTTGTTTTGGGCTCACCACCCATGTCTGGAATGATACCAACTAAAATTATGTTGTTTCGCTTAAAACGTTCCTCGCGTGGCAGATTAAGAATAGCAAGATAGATAACACCAACTGAATATCTAACATGTTTAAAAGGTTGAAACCAATCTACGTTCAAGGTTAATCCATAATTTCCTTCTTTTGTGAAAAAGTCATGTTTATCAGGGTCATTGAAATCCTTCCATATTTTACCATCATAGATATCAGTCACCGTTTTCAGGCCTTTCTCTCCACAGTTCACATGACTTTTCAAATCCCTTCCGCTTAACTAGAGCTGAAATGGAATCAATCAATGGTTTATAACAGTATATTTTGAAGGGAACAAGTTTAGTGCCCCCACTAGGGAGTTTGACATGTTTCAATAACTTCTGGCCACACGGTCTTCTACGCCTGCGTTGAGGATGGTTAGGGTATTTCGAAAAGGTACATCTTTTGCTTTCTTCTACACCTCCTACAACAACCTTGCACTCAGTGTAATCATACAAACTACAACATTTAGGGCAAACTACATACTTTATGAAACGGTCATCTCTATAATTCAACTGCCTCCAAACCAAGTAAACTGAACCAGGAAACAGAGGGGACAATGCAGCGATGAAAGAAGAATGTCCTGATGCTATATTAACCCTAAACAGTACACCTGGGGTCCGCGCGGACCCCAGCACTATATATTCTGTAATATCTTTTTTTTTTGTAAAGATTTTTTTCTGAAATTTTAGGTAATTGTCACCCACAAAGTTGTCTCTCAATACAGTGCAGAAAACTCCGTTTCTACCATTTAAAAAAAAATTATATCTGATTTTCTTTTGGGGTTCGCGCGGACCCCAGCCTGCTTTCGATCATAATGGATACACTGGCGTTCTTATACAGTACCTTATTTCCGTTTTTATATGTTTTTATGCACTCATCGTATGTCTACCAAGTTTTCAGAGAATGGTGTAGTAATAGAATTAAATTTTAATAACTTTGGTGTAATTATGACGTCATATGACGTCAGAGCTAATAATGTAGTCCGCCATATTGGATTTTGACCAATGACGTCATCAAATTAGCATATTATATGCATATTAAATGATTTAACTTATATTTAATTATGTAAGATGTTATTAATGTTAGAAAAAAAGTGTAATTTCATATAAAACTCAGAAAAGTTTTATGTTTAAACCAAAATTACTTCTATTTTCAAAAAAAACTGCCCGTTGCCATGGCAACACAAAAAAACATCAACTTACAAGTATTAAACTAATATGAACTTTTTTCCAGAGACATTTTAGGAAAGGTCTCCAAATTTGATACTTCTAGCACAAGCCGTTTAGCCGCTATCTGATATCAAAGTTGGGCCTCAAAAGCCCCTTCAGTCTGAAATGGGTTTAAAAATCGGGTATTTCTTCTTGTCTTCTTTTCTTCACCAAAAAATAGAAAAAGTTTAAAATGTATGATTTTTGTATGTAATGTGGACACAGAGGTTCCCACATCAGTTTGCAAAACAAATGAGCTGGTAGTATGTTGATAATTTCTAAAAATTAGCAAAAAACTGTTCTGGGGTCCGCGCGGACCCCAGGTGTACAGATTAATCAGTCCGGGAAGGTGTTCTGTTGAGGGTTAAACCACTGGTGCAAGAAGTTGAAGAAATGATCCATAGCATTATCCGAAATGAAGTATTTTGCTTGCCACAATAATATAAACCAGCAAAGCCACTTTACCAGACAGGTGAGCATACCTTTTGATGACATTCGGGGCTTACTACTTGAAGAATTATTCACAAAGTCTTCGTCAAGGCCAACATAATCGTTAGCATCGTTTTCCATCCAGATTTCTTCAGTGTCATTCTCTTCTGGCACTGATTCATCTACATCATAGAATGATTCTATATCTTCCTCCCCATGATTTCTAGTTTGTTTCAATTTCCTACCCACATTTAAAGGTTCAGAATCCACTAAAGATTCACTGCATTGAGGGTCGGATTCAGGAGACTGAGGGTCAGATTCAGGAGATAAAGGGTCACATTCAGAAATGCTGGCACTACATTCAATTTCAGAATCAGAACTTTCGTCGTACTTTGCTTTTTCTGCACAAGTGTATATGTTGGTACTTTTATTGTACATCCGTTGTCTATGATTACGTAAACCTTGTGCAGTATAGTTTCTTAAGCAGCCTGGGCACGTCTTTCTGCCACTGTTCACCTTCTTCCTTCTTGAACCCCTTTCAAGAAACACAGCAAAAGTGTCTATTATTACATTTGTTCCAAGTTTCTTACAGCTATAAACATATACATATATATATTTGCATATCAATCATATGTGTCATGAACAAATCACATGAGAAAAGTGTTATATGACTGAAACAGAAGATACACATCCAGGAGAGAAATCCAATACCCCTTAAAATATACAGTGTCAGGTGGGTACAATTAGACCCCTCATTTCAACTTTCAACTCTCAAGCATCTCACTCAAGGTGTATTTCAGCAAAGACAAAGATGGCCTTTGCATTTGCTCCTTCCTGCACTCTTTAGAGATATGTGCCAATGCATTGGATTTAATATGGTTGCAACACTTCACCAAAATCTTACTTATCACGTACCCAACTGAAAAGACATCACTAGAAACACTTGGTGCATGGTCACCACTGCGAACCTCCGGAGCAATCCATGGGTATTTTGCTTCTGGAAGTGGTTGCAGTGACTTTTTGGCATCTGAGATGATGCAGGCTCGCCCAAAATCTATGATTTTGATCTTCATGTCTGAAGATATGATGATATTATTGGGCTTCAAGTCATTATGTAGGATGCCATGCATGTGGATTTGGTACAAGACAGAGCAAAGATCAAATACAATTAAACACCAACGTTTTCTGTCATAAAGTCCTGGTTTCTTTTGTATAATGTGATCAATTGTAGTACTCTGTCCATTCTGGCCCTCAAATTGTGTCAAAAGTTTGCATGGATGAACCTTAGTTTCAATGCCAACAAGCTTTTGGACACCGTCGATATCCTGCAGTGCCCTCAGCATGTTAGCTTCCTTTAATAGGTGCCGTTTTGACATCCCCACAGCAGACTGCCCATTCCTTTCAATGCCATACGTTTTGACAGCTACCGTGCCAACATCTGACAGATGAAGTTTACACACTTGGCCATATGCACCACGTCCAACAACTGTATTGTGAGCTTGAACCAAGCGGTCATTTTCAAAAATCTGATCAGAGGGAAAGTCTGCCAGGCTTGGTAGAAAGGATTCAGCAGTGTGTTTGGACACTGCCTTGTACAGAATATCGTTGTCCTCATTCACGGCCATTACCTTATTTAACAAATCAGTATTCTCTTCTTTTAAACCATATATGGTTTTTGACTGCTGAGCAAGCTGAGCCGCTAACTCAGATGTTCTTTCCTTCATTGTAGAAAGTTCCATTTCAAGGGCCTGTATTTTCTCTTTGGCCAATACTGATTCATTTACATTTTTATCTACATGCTCCTGGGGAGCTACTCTCCCATCTGTTTCTGTCCCAGCCACTTTCATCTTTAGCCCATCATAATAGTAATCTCTTTTATGATTTGATGGATTATAGATACGAACACGGTGAAACTTCTTTTTGTACACATTCCTCAAAATCCTTCCCAGCTGTTGTTTTGACAACTTTTTTCCAATCCCTGAGTCCTCTTCAATCTTCTTCCTGAGATCCTCTGCTCTTATTTTTGAGTCCTTTCTTTCTTGAACATTGATACTCAACCTGGATCAAGATGATGACATAACAAAAGCCAAGTTGAGGAGTCACATACTCATCATAGAGTTTGGCTAATGTATTTGAGCTCTCAATGGTATTCTCGAATAATTTCTTGTCAACAGGCAGGTTACAAGGAAATGGAGAAAATGCAATAATATTACCAATTTAATTTCAAGTTTATGTCAAAGGAATACACTCATCAGTAACAGCAGTGACTTAACTTACTTGACTTGACTTATGTGGGAAGTCAGGTCAAGTAATAGTACTTCACCAGAAATTGTAATGTGCTTGCCTCTAAAACAGCAACAGGTGAAAAAAAGTCAATTTGTACGCAAATACAAAGGGATCTGTAGTCACTACTGTTAGTGTTAATACCTGGTAGTGATTAAATTTTTTCTTTATTTCAATCTCGCTAACTCCATGGGATCTGATCTCTATTCATTACATCTCAGTTTGTCCCTGACAAGCCAAGATCCAATAGTTAGTTTTTGGAAAACAGTTTCCACTTGGTAACTGCTGTATTTTAAGCATATTAAAGGGAAAAACATATGAAACCAACTATCTAATTTGCATGATTCATGCATAAATGCTTTGCTGTTATTATTAGTAAAGAGGAATATATAGTTGAGTATACTGGGCAGGTCTTTATGTTGTAAGCAAAATGGACGAGTAGGCACGAGTACTGACCAACTTTTCACCTTCAGTCCTGTCCTGGAATTTAGACTGTTTCTCCTAAGGACAAACATTTTGGAAGCAATGCTACTTTTAGATCATGACACTATAGCAAAGATTGATATGCAAATATACAATTACCATAGATAAACCAACAATTACACTGTTTGATGACTATGGAAAACACATTGACATTGACAAAATGACAAAGTAACTGCTTGATGCTCATCTATGAGATAAATGGGCAGGAATTCACTCTTACTACTAGGAGATGTTTCCCTCTCCCCCTTAATTTCAATAAGCATCTTTCTATACATTGAATCTTCTCATCCTCTCTCAATTTCGTAATTCATACTGGACTCTACTTACTTGCCGGCAGGTGCCCCTCCACGCAGAGCAAGTACCACTTCGATGTTACTGGGCACTTCACTCATCAGCTGGGTTTTCTTCAACTGTTAAAACAGTTTAGTGTGTCAATATTTCTTTCTATCAGACAGCTAACAACACCATGTACAAAATGTATAGTATTTTGCAAAAGCAAAGTCTCTACTCAGTACTGGTGATGCAATATTTAGAATTATGAAAGTGGTTTTCTTGATTGTATAGGAGTTGCACAAGACTAAAAGTAGTAAAGGGCTTTCCTATCCACTACAAAACTTTTACATGGCCCACTCAGAGATAGCCTAGAAATACTTGTATCCAAACCTATCATAGCTCACAATTCTCTTCTGTCCTCTCTGTATACAGATATATGTAATAGACTTGGATACCAGGCTAAGTCAGAACTGGTTCTCTTGATTACCTGGCAAAATCAGTGTTGGAAATTATCTTTTTTCAAATACGACTACCCTCAGAGTAACCTAGTGTATTTATGCTTTGACAGCCCATCATTTTAGCTTTCCTCTGTATATATGTATAAAGTCAATAATTTCTTAATTTCCCATATGCAGTCTTTGACAAAAAACAAGATGGGGTTGAAAGTGGGCAGAAATTAAAGCCATAACCTGCCTGTCATCTAAAGAAACAGTCTGATATGTAATAGCCAAACATGATTGTACAGAAATCCAGTAAGCTATCATAATGGGAAACAAACTTGTGAAACTGGGTTGCCATTCACTGATCCTTCTTTCCTGGTCAACCTCAATTGAGGTGAAGTATGATTCCTTTGCGTTTGATTCTTTTGATTCTGCTGGTAATGCATTGCAGAATTCTATATGACTCCCATTTGGGCAAGCACACCAGGATGAAGTGTTGGGTTGGCTTCTTTGACATGCAGAGGTTTGAACGTCATGAGCTTCCTACGATACAGGGCTACCCTCTTTATGTCTCTACCCAAAAGAATGGTACATTCTAGTCTTTTCCAGACATGTATAGGCCAGCGTGCAGATCTATTGACTTTGACCCAGCCATGATAGGGGCAGCTTTTAGAATCGCAGACCGCTGTCCCATAGAGACACGTATTTAGTTATCCTGCACACTATGTAAGCTAAACTGGACAAGTATTTACATGTAGTTACCCTGCACAGTATGTAAGCTAAACTGGATTGAGCCAACAAGAGACATGTACAGTTCCAAAAATCTTTGAATGTATACACATCTATCAAAAATACCATACATAACCACTATAATGAAAAAGGGTATTGCAAATTCCTGCCCGAAGGCTAATTGCAGGTGACATAAACAAAAGAACATTCAAACAGAGTAGTACAGAATAACTTCAAAATCTACATAATATATAGTAAAAGGGAATATGTATGAAACTTTAGCTATCGATGTCAGAAACTATCTCTAAAGGGTTTGACTTCTCTGTTGTAGACCATGGAAGACGTAATGTAACACTTTTTCTGAAATTTGTAGGTTTTGGGTCGTTAAAAGAAGAACAGCTTTTTCCTATCTGTCAATAATTGTGCTTGTCACAAAGAGCTAGAGGTATTTTCTGTATATAGCATCTCTCTTGTTCTCTGTCACACCATGCCAATGGAAGAATAACTCTCCACTAATCTTAACTGGATCAAGATCATTTTCACACTTTTAATAATTATGTATTTGTTCCCCTTATGGGGGAACGGGTTTTCTGCGCGTGAAAAATTTGCGCGCGCGTGAAAAATTTGCGCGTGAAAAATTAAAGTCCTTTAAAAATGTCAAAAAATATGCAGTACCAAATTCTAATGCAGAAAAATGTTACCCTGTAACATGATTTTCCATCTACAACCTGAAATTTCGGTTTGAATTTTTAGGTCCCTTGGGAATAGGTTAATTTGCATATCTTCCAAGAAACATTAAAATTAAAAGATTACTTGAATTTGCCAGAAAAACATGGAACAGTTACTAATACAAGGTTTTGTATTGTTAAATTTAACAATTCCAGGCTTTTCTCCATTCTATAAGCTTGATTTGGCATTTTATGAAGCAGTTTCTTTCACGCGCAAATTTCAAACTTTTTTGCGCGTGAAAACTTAAACTTTGAAAATCACCTAAAAGTCACTGAAAAGTTTACAAAACAAGGCTATGTACTCTAGAATGTGATAATATGATACTCAATTCTATTTCATGACTTTTCATCTATATTTTTAAGTCCAAAACAGCAAAAAGTTTTTAAATCCCTTGGGAATCGGCTAATTTGCATATTTTCACGCGCAAATTTTTCACGCGCAGAAAACCCCATCTCCCTTATGGTATGCATAAGAACCTTACCTTCTTGGATCCTGCCATCAGTGACCCTCCAGGGGGTAGGATCTTCTCTGCCTCCAACTGTATGGTGAGATCTGCAACTGTTGTTTCCTGCTGCACATCCACACACCTGGTGTTTCCATGCAGATCTTTAACAAACAGTTGACGCGACCTTACAAAGAAAATAAAGTAAATAAATATGTGCTCTACAGTTAGATTCAATAAGTAGTCCTTTCAAAACAAGTGGCACTGACTTTGTACTAATTGTAAAAATGGGCTGATATACAAGCAGCAATTACAAATTTGATAGACGCCAAATCTAATACCTACCCAGGACAAACTTCTTTGGTATCCTCGTTATCCTTTTCACCGGGAGCTGTGGATGCGGAAGACAGTAGCTGCACTTCTGGTTGATGCATGGGTTCTGGTTGATGACAGTCTGATCCAGGGTTCGAAATACTTTTTTTCAGGTACGTGCAAAATTGCACATTGGCAAAATTTTAAGGTGCAATTTGAAAAATTTATGTGCAAAATTATATTTAGCCTTGCATCTTTAGGTTTGGAACTGTTTTACTGTGTATCAACCTTCTTAGCCTGCCACTGCATATAGAAGTTTTAGTATACATTAAAAAGAAGGGACCAAACAAAACATGAACAATGCAAGTATCATCTGTGTTTATAAAAAAAAAAAGAACACAAAAAAAATTTGTCGGCATTAGCTTCAAAGGACGCCGCTAGTGACCCCCAGCCCTCTCACTCGTCATAAAAAAAATTTACCAACAGTATGCGAGCAATAAATTTCATTTATTTTGCATATTTGTTTACCTTGAATATCGTGCACGATATAAGGAAAAAAATACTGCTTAGAAAAAAATAACGTCCGGTTAATTTTTGCTTCTTGGCGCTCCCCTCCCCCTCCTCTGGGGGCGCGTCGTCAACATCGGCCGCGGGATCCTCGGAGACGGTGGACCCGGTGGCATCTCCCGATCCACCGCCCCCGGCTGCACCAGCCTCTGGTCCACCGCCACCGGCTGCACCAGCCTCTGATGCCGGTGTTCCATTATATAGGTTCCCCCGTGGAAATCGGTTCCCCCCTCCATATTTGGCACGCGGGGTCGTGGCCTAAAAACTACGAAGGCCCACAGGGACAAAGCTCGGTGTCGGGCTATCTTCTGTACAGTGTAGACCGTGTTTTTTGATGCAGTGTAGTAGTGTGTTTGATTCAGTGGGTATTGTTTAAAACAGAGTGACATGTTAATACTTAACGAGGTGTTGCGTACTGATACTGGTAAGGAATCCTTCACAAAGACAATTCCTTCTCCTGTACGTTTAATAATAAGGCCAAGGAGTTTGGTGCATAGAAGAATAAGTGTGGAAGGCGGATGCTGTCAATATCTCGTTAAAGTGAGAGTATAACTTGAAATTTGGCAAATAAACAGAGACTATTCATTTCAGATCTATTGAAAAAATTCTACATAGCATTTTCTGAATTGATTGGAAAAACTCATACTGATTTTTTTGTCGTGTAGTACAAGACTCGGTTTCAGGTCCAAACTCATAGGTGGAGTAAAAAATCTTTCTCACCAAATTACAATTTCCATCGGGTAAATTTCCATTTGGGACCCCTACAAAAGTCACCCACCGAATATTTTGTAAGTTAAAGATCTGTCTCACGAAAAATGACGTCCATGTAGTACAGACTTACAAGTTAAATGAGGGGGGAACAAATTTCCATGGGGTAGCCGTGATATTTGGGCCCCCCTCATTAATAGGTCCGTCCCTTCTCATAATCCTTTTCAGACTTGTGTGTTGGATCAAAGTCACCCACCGAACTTATTGTAACTTAAAGATCTTTCTCACGAGAAATGACGCCCCTGTAGTACAGACTTACAAGTTCAATGAGGGGGGAACAAATTTCCATGGGGTAGCCATGATATTCGGGCCCCCCTCATTTATAGGTCCGTCCCTTCTCATATTACTTTTCAGACTTGTGTGTTGGATCAAAAGTCAACCACCGAACATATTGTAACTTAAAGATTGTTTTCAACAAAAATGACGCCCATGTAGTAACGATTTCCAAGTTCAATGAGGGGGGAACAAATTTCCATGGGGTAGCCGTGATATTTGGGCCCCCCTCATTAATAGGTCCGTCCCTTCTCATAATCCTTTTCAGACTTGTGTGTTGGATCAAAAGTCATCCACGGAACATACTGTAACTTAAAGATTTTTTTCAACAAAAATGGCGTCCATGTCGTAAAGACTTACAAGTTCAATGAGGGGGGAACAAATTTCCATGGGGTAGCCATGATATTTGGGCCCCCCTCATTAATAGGTCCGTCCCTTCTCATATTACTTTTCAGACTTGTGTATTGGATCAAAAGTCACCCACGGAACATATTGTAACTTAAAGATCTTTCTCACGAAAAATGACGCCCCTGTAGTACAGACTTACAAGTTCAATGAGGGGGGAAGAAATTTCCATAGGGTAGCCATGATATTTGGGCCCCCCTCATTAATAGGTCCGTCCCTTCTCATATTACTTTTCAGACTTGTGTATTGGATCAAAAGTCACTCACGGAACATATTGTAACTTAAAGATTGTTTTCAACAAAAATGACGCCCATGTAGTAACGATTTCCAAGTTCAATGAGGGGGGAATAAATTTCCATGGGGTAGCCATGATATTTGGGCCCCCCTCATTAAAGACCTTTCTCACCAAAAATGGCGCCCAACAATTTTATTTATTTATTTATTTCAACTTTGCCACAAGGGCAGGACAGGGGGAACAGGCGGTGCCTTGTCAAGGCCCTCTGTCCAGTTGCCGATTCATAGTGATTTTTTCAAGATCTCTGTGCCACGCATAAGTTATACCATGGTCAAAATAATGCAAACTGCGATGCTGAAGTGTAAAGGAACTTTTTATTTTATTTCACTTCTCTCCTGTGAGCGCGCTAAACAAACATATTGCGTTATGCTATGTAAACAAACACGGCGACTGGCCGGGCCGCCTCCGCCTTTTGCCGATTCAGTATTTAAGTGATTTCTTGTTCTCTGGGCTACGAATAAGTTATCTTATGCCAAAATACAGCGACTTGGGCTGTTATCTCATCAATGCAGGGTGTATCCCGGTAGAGTTCCAAACCCGGGCAAGTCACAATCTCCTGAAGGACCGAGAAGTCCAACCCCCGAAGTCTGGGTTTCCTCGGAGATCCCATAAATGTTGTTCCTACCTCCGACATAATAAGAATCCTGACATCAAACTAACCAGTTTACCCTTAGACAACAAAATTAAACTTTGGACGGTCTGAAATTGTGCGCATGAATTTCTCACATTGAAAGAAACTGGTTTATCTAATGGGCATTTCTTGCTCTACATAACAATAAATGCCTACTAATGGCATACAGAAAACATGTATGTTGGTAAGCACATGCAATTTGAAAAGTAAACAGAAAATTGCAAGTATAATAGTACAAAAAGTAAAAGCTCTCAAACAATGTCATTTTAGCCAACTTGGTTCTACTTCTTCTGCACTACTTCTAAACTATATTGGAAATGTACTTATGCCAGTAAAATGCAGGTGGGTATTTCCACGCAACAGAGGTTTACATATCTCAGACTTTGACACAGAGGAAGGAATCATGTTTCACCATCAACACTGAAGGGCCCCCAAGGGCAACGGGATGCCATGTTGTCTGCAATAGTCAACATGGGCTTGTGTGAGGCCCTCCAGTGTAGTCGGGTCAACAATTACTTCCTCTGGGTCAAAGTCTGGGTATCGTGGCTTGATGCAGCCCTCGTTGGCGTGGAAATACCCAACTGACCATTTATCAACCATTGTCTTCCTCATCTTATTATAATATGGGAAGTTCCCGTAGTGGCTGATTACTACATTTGCGGGAGGAGTGAGTGTCCCGAATTTCTGCGTGCACCCTCTGCAAACTCTTACCAACTTTGGTTTGAAACAGAGCAGGAACGGTTTCCTCTGCTTCGACGTGAAGGTATCTTCAGCGTCTGTAATGAGAGAACAATATATACTATAACAGGTTCTTTTGTATGCTGTTGGAATAGGTTTTTCTACAATATGATAGATAAAGATGAGTGAAGTGAGACTTGGTATTAAAGAAAATCTGATAAGAAGAGATTCGATTTCAGCATAGTTCGATATATGTTGCAGGTGTCAAGGATTGTCTTTTTTCTACATTTGGCAGTTACTGCCTTAATTCATTTGAATGACAATAGCGCAATCATCAATTTTCATTCATCTAAAGTAGCATCCTGAGAAGACTTTTTGATTCTCCTGTTCATTCTCCCACAAATTCACACCCACCACACCCACCACTTATAGACACAAAATTAATGATATGAATCTTTATTGCATGTTCTTGCCCAGATGGGCTAAATGCACAAGAGGACATGCAGTATGCAAAACATGAGTATTGCATACTGGGACGCTATATTCTAATGCTAATTGCTAGGAATTTATACATTATAACAATATACATGTACTACCTATCATCTACTGTTAGTTGCCCTTAATATAACTTAATATTTGACAGACTTAACGTAAAATGAAATACCTTTCTTAGACTTACTCTTCTTTGCAGCCTTAGCTGCATGGCTGGGCCCGAAAGTTGACTCCACTTCAGGAGCAATGTCGTCTGCTAATATGACATAAAAATAGAATTCATCTATTGCTGTATGCTTTAACATGTGCACTTTCTATGTTGAGTATTCAGGAGTTACACTTTTCCTTACTCCACCATGTTTTATTACGGTACATGAGCAAATCTATTGTAGAAACAGCAAGGATTTGATTTGAAATATAAACAATTGTTTACTTTTGTCCTAAATACTACAAAACAGTATCACAATATTCCCATTTCCCAAGTTTTGAGTTCAGTAATTTTCATTGTAGTTTCTAAATGACATTCTATCATCAACCAAACATTTGTGTCTTATTCTTGGGTGCTTTTTTTCAGGATGGGCAACATATCATCATTTTGGGGTAAACAATAAGCTTTCCCGAAAATTAACCCTCATAAGACTAACCCCCCCTGCAAGAAGGTGCTAAATATCTTGACTTTCAACTTGTAAATAGCGTCTTTGACACACCCTTACAGTTCATCAGATGTTGTAAAATGATCCCTTATACCACACCAATTTGATTTGTTGGTTCTCAGATATTTCATAAAAGATATGAGGCCAAAAAAATTCCTTCAACTGTTGTGGTGGAAATATGTCATTTTGGACTGAAAAAAACTGTTACCAAAAATTCTGCTCACTGTATTATGATCAGAGTGTCATGACAGTGTCGCAAAATGTAATAAGAGAAGATGTGATAAAAGGAAAGAATCAGAACAGGGCGAAATTTATTGCTGTTTTCGTTTGTTGTTACACTATGTTCTTTTATTCAATTTG